AAATGATGGGAGAAAGAGGGTTAGACAGACCAGCAGACCTTCATAGAACTTCTTAGTGAAAACCTTGTTCTTTAGAAGACTTTGAAACTTGAAACTGCAGTGATGGTTCAGAGGGCCTAAGTCTTGTGTTGAAATCTATTATCTGTTTGTTCCTGGATTATTAGCATAAACAACAACTTTAGGATGGTGGTTTTTAGAATGCCATGTTACATATAGATACTGGTGCATAATCCTCAGTCACATAACCTCAAAATTATACATTATTTCTAGCCTAATTAGGTATGTCTAAGAATTTTCATGTATGTGTGGGGTTTTTTGAATCTAAAAGATGGACCAAGATCTAGATGAGTCTCTGTTCTTGAGTTTTGATATTTCCTCTTCTGTGCCTAGTGGACAGTTTTCAGTAGGAATGCTTTTGATATTTACACTACTTTTTGGAACTTTTTCACCTTTGCTTTTCAGAAAACCCATGAAGTTGGGTGAATATCTGAAAGTATACTTTAAAAAGAATAAAGTATAAAAAAAGATGGCTGAATTCTAGGCTCAACTAATATCTTTTAAATGCTTGGATCATAAACTGGTAACTGCATATACTTCATGCTTGTGATATAATGGAATGCATTATTTTCATATCACAATCTTCCAACTAATACAGCTGCATCAATATATCTCTACAATAAAACAACAGCAAACACAAATGTAGTGTTTAATAACTTTAAATTAATATAATAATTAATTATTCAGGTCTCTGTAAAATTTGAATGATATTTTCAGGGTGGAGGAGGAGGATGTTATTGTTGTTGTTTCAGTCGCAGGATAGAAACCATCACCTCCTTGGGCAGAGCACCATGACCCAATGGCTGGAAACTCATTACAGGAAAACACAAACATAAGTCATCTAAAACTATTTTCAGAGTAAAAACCAGTAATAACTCTTGCTGTGAAAACAGCACATTTCTCTCTTAACAATGTTAAGTGGTCTTTAACGATTCACTCTGAGCAAGAAGCCACTGATGCATTTTGGTTTCCTCATATTTCCTTAACTTATTGGATAAATACACCTCTATTTGCTGTATGAGGTTGTTCTTTAATTTTTACAGTAACTGTGATCTTCAAATTTTGATTCTGGTTTGAACTCTCTTGGTCAAATTACGATGCCATGTGTTCCATAAATTGCATTTGTAGCTGTTAGCCTCAGCAGTTTGCCTCTCAGCAGTCACGGAGCTGTGTATTTTTAAAAATGTAATAAACACCATCCACACAAACTCTAGATGATATTTCCAGTAAAAGCATTTTCAAAGCACTCTGGCCCAGCTACTGGATTTTACTGGAGTGAAATGTGCTTTTACTCTTCTCCCAAATGCTTTCCCCTCCTGGCATATAAGATACCGAGATATTCATAGTTACCCTCCATTTCTTCATTTCAAATTTTATTTTACTGTGTTAAGAAAACAAACTTAATAATCTATTTATATCTATGTATTTCTTTAGTCCTCAAGGTTTATGTTATTTGACTCTGCAAAAGTAATGATTTTTAGATTTGAAAAACAGCTTACTTACACAATACATAGGGCATCTTGATGGAGCTTCTTTCACCACCTTTTTGAAGATAGCAACCCCTTAAATCATGCAATATTACACTTTCTATAGCACCGAAAAACAAGTTATAGGGGAAAGAAAGTAGCAACCATGGATCTGCCTTGCAGACCTGTTTTCTCTAATCGACACATAACCACAAAGCTCTGTGAAGGTTCATCTGGCATTTTCAAAGGCATAATTATTTCTTTTTCTGCCCAGCTACAGCCAATATTCTATTATGGCCATTACTTTACCAGAACACTTCCCGATTTCAGAGCAATATGCCCCAGCATTTAATCAGATCTTTGTCACACTTTCTGCACACCATGGCACTATGCAAAACCAGCTGTTCTAATAAATTCCTTTTCCCTTTTAGTGAATTTATTCAAATATTTATAAATCATCTGCTATAAAGGTGTCCACGGAGCCTTTGGCTTCAACCCTCACAAAAAACCTGTGAGTATCTGGCCATGGCAGTTGTCCCCATCTTCTGACTACCCACCAGTTTATCAACTTCATTTTTCTTCCTGCCTAGTTTTATCCTGGTCTCTCCCTTCCTCATTCAGACTAAATTAACTGAGGAAATCGGAGAATATACTTACCTGCAAACTCTTCTTTAGAGCCAATTTAGGCTCCTATCAAACACCTTTAACTCCAGGTAATCCTGCTTCAATCATATTTTATCACAAGATGTCAGGAAAAGGGTTTCATGCTCAAGGGTATCATCTCTGAAGGTCCCAGATATTGCCCAGCTGACATATCAACACTGAAGTTTCATGGATGCTGCTACTTTCAAGCACATTCATAACACTTAAAAAGTAATAATGTTTGATCTTTATATATTGCTTCATAGTAACTGTATGTTCATGTCAGAGTTGATCCAAACTTCTCCATACCCCAAAAGCAGGGGTTTTCAAGCTAGCTAGTGTGAAGTGCATTGGTTAATTTATGCACTGATATTTACATCAAGCATAAAAAGACAATGTATTCTCTCTTTCTCAACCATAATTTTTACATGTTAATTTTTGTACACTGATTATTCCAAGTGCCAAATTCCCTTAAAATCTCAGGCAGCTAAAATATAATGTTTTCAAGTAATACTACCAATCTGTGTAAAAAAGAATATTCTCAGAGTTTCTGCTCCTTTGCCTCAATTATAAAACAGGAAAGCTGGAAGGCTCCCACAGAGAACAGACTGAAAATCAACACTAGACCTGGCACGACAGTGTTGCTGTGATCCCAGGGGAGAAGCAGGTAGACATCTGGGAGAGGAATGCCTACTTTAATCTTCCTAATGCATCTTTTTTTCTATGAACTTGCTATGTTATACCCCATACACTATTTAGAACTTGGGTTACCTAATAGCCCCTTAAATGCAATAGGTTCACTGTTAAAAAGAGGATAAAGATTTCACCAGTGTCAGTTAACTGGCAGCTATTGCATTAATCTCCACTGTCACCATCCCACCAGCATCAAAAGTGCACCCAGTGAGGTGACTCACTTGGCCTTTAGGATTCTGAAGAGATTTTGTATTTCCAGGTGTACTGAGCTCAGCATAAGTGGCAGATATTGTGATGTTTCTAAAAACAGTCCCTTTTTCAGGGCTGAGTGATCTGCAGACCACAGGCATTTTAGGCCTTATATTTCGCAGAATTGTGATGTTCCAGTTTTGGATATCTCTGATAAGGGAAGAACAAGAGGTCATACACTTCGTACATGGCCTTTATTGGTTGATCTCAATGGGATTGTGCCTCTGTTTTCAACAAGTGGTTTAGCTTGTGTGCCTTCTTTTTGGTTTTACTCTCATGTTTATCATGATCTTTGTTTACAAAGAATTGGAAATATCTTGATATGTGGACAAATAAATAAAGATGAACCTTTCTCCTGAATGCAGGTATAACAAGATATACTTCCTAATGCAATATAGCAACTTGGCAAATAATCTTTCTGTTATTACAGCTGGTACTATAAAATTTACACTGAATACCACACTATGTTTCTTCTGCCAATACTGTCTATATAATATATGCCTTATTTTTTTAGCTGTTTTCCCTCAGCATAAGACAGAAACATTTGCACTGTAAGCCATTTGAATCTATATTTTTTAATATTTTTTGTAGGGGATCTCTTCAGTGCTCCTTGATGGACTTGCACTCCTTTCTTTTCTGGTCAATTAAAGCAGGTCCCACTGCACCTGTGTTATCTCTAATTTGGTGGTTAGAAAAGATTGTGAGAAAGACTCTCTGAAAGAAGACAGTTTGCCCCCTGGCAGAGGGACTTCCTGCTTTCTGCTTTGGTCCATCAGTCACAGAGCTTAAGCACCAAAATCTCTCAGGTGCCCTTGAGCTTCACGTGCTGAGTTGGTAAGGGGCTTCTCAGATGAGAATGTTTCAGTCATTTAGAAGCCACTTCTTACATGAGCAGTAGTATTTTTATCTCAGTAAACCCCATTCATTGATGGCACCACAAGTCACAGTCAAAAGTCCAGGCAGGGAAGCAAAATAAGAGATCTCAACAGAGATTTAGTCTTACTGACCTATATACAATATGTGTTCACAGTACTGTGTACAGTACCACATTGACATACAATCTTCTCTCACTGGAGGCACTGTTTGTGCACTTCTCAGCTTATTCAGCCATTTGATTTGTCTCAGGTTATAGAAAAGGAGGAGCCCTTCCTCCCTGCAGCAGCCAAATGCCTTCCATACACTCTCACTTCAGCACTTTTTAAACCATTTCTCATAAGGAAATAATAAAAAGTCTTGGTCTTTCACAAGCAGAAGACAACCCAAAAAGAGATCACCCAGCTTTTCTACAGAGCAGTGCATATGTCCCCTCCCCATACAGATGACCTTTATTCTAGCTGAAATGCAAGCACCTAAGTTAGATGCTCAATCAGCCTAAACTTCTTTTACAGACAAGGCAGAGGAAGAGTGTTTCCAGGAAATGGTTTGAGGATTTTTTTGATAGCTTGAATGACATCTACTGGGCAACTGTACTTCCACTTGGTTATCTCATACTTCGTGAAATTAGGCTGGTTGCAGGTCTAATAATCTCCTTAGAGATGGACTGAATCTTCCTTGTGTGTGTCAATCTCCAAATAAAACTTTCATGAAGTTACAAACAGTTCAAGTAATACTTTTAAAAGTAATAAGACCACTGTGGGTTTTTTCCTGTTCATCATGTGAGAAAAGTAATGTTTTATATGATATAGCTCACAGGTTTTAAAAGAAAAGTAGCATGGTGGTTGGCTCACACCATATAATGAAAATTGCCTCTCATGCAAAAACTAAAGTGCCCTCCTCTAGCATGGAATTTTTGCATGCTGTGATTGTAACTCTGTAGAATAAAACCGTGTAAATCATGAATTCTATGACTAATGTATCCAGACTTACACTGGTAGACCTTTCTTTTTGTTTCAGGATTTCAAATGCATTTAAATCATGGAATCATAGAATAAGAATATGCTGAGTTGGAAGGGATACATCAGGATCATCGAGTCCAACTCCTGTACATTAACAGCTTTTACTTGTCCATGTAAGTAACATTCCTTGATATCACCATTATCACTGCTTTTGACAAGCAGTATTCTCTGTCCCTGAACATTCATTTTTGTGCAAAAGTTTTGAGAGCCTCCTGTACCTCAGTATGGGACCACAATGCTCAGACTGAGGCCTTCATACCCTAAGTAGACTGACGAAACAGAGCTGCATTAGAGATGCTTGGTACTCTTTATAGATCTCCTTTTTGACTTTCTTTCTTTTACTATTACTGTAAAAAAACCAAATCCATCGTTGATATAGCTGCTCTGAAGGCAGTGAAGTTACTTCACGGATGAATGTGACCCATTTTATGCTTTTCAAGAACCTAACAAACAATAAATGTCACATCCCCATCACAGCTCTGATGCTGTTCAGAGGACAGATGTACAATACCTCTTTGTCTTCCTCCTGCTCGTAACGAGCAGTGTAGGTCATCTGCATCATTAACATTTGCAGCTGATGCATTGGTGTAGCCTGTACACACTTCTTGGAGCTGCATAGACCTTCTCATTGTTTTCAGAACCTTGATTTTTCGTACTATTATCATCATCCAAATGTATTTAAGGATGAAACTATTAGAAACACAATTGGTGAATTAATGTCATGAGGGCTGCTGCTGGCAGCTCATCAATTTTTGATATGCCACTCAGACAAATGAAACATAAGCCACCCAGAACAAGGGGACCTTTTGACACTTCAAAGGAAACCCCTATGGGTGGTTTCCTCTTGAAGCTGCACTAAACTGGCTCAATCTCCTCAGCTGGAAGCTGCCAATGTCTCATTAACCCCTAAACAGGCCCTGCATGAGCTTTTCTTTTCAGCTATAATTATGCCATGCACTCCTGTTATGCTGTACTGAATTGCAACACTGTCACCAGCACATTATAAACATCCACCCTAATTGAAAAGCAGATTAGACTCGTGTTAATTAGAGAAAAAGCCCGCCCACTTGCATGCATTATGATTGCCTCTTAAATACTGAGGATGTTGAAATCCCTCAGAAAGACAAGGCAGACTTAATTGCAATAACCTGCAAATTAAGTTTAATTTACTTTAAATTTACCGGTTTAGCAGGCTCATTTGATGGTGTTAATGTTCTAGCAAATTAATTATCTGAATTAGTCATGCCTGGTGGAGTTTTGCAGCAGAATACATTGTACAGTGGCCTATTAATAACAGACAAACAGGACAGGATTAATGAGAGGCTTATGCTAAAGTTGGTTTTTTTTTTTTTAAAACGAGGATCTTTCATGATTTCAAATATAATCACCCAAGTGCAAATACAGACACAGAATATAAACAAAGTGAAATTTATTACACTCTATGGCATGCCATCTAGGAGAAACAGTAAAACATTACCAGTGAAATATTTGATAGAAAGAAGCTTCTTCTATGCACTCAAGTAGATCACTTCTCACAGCAAACCATTTCCCATTATCTGGTATGTCTCTATGAGACTTCAAATACCTAAGTGCTTTCGAGAGTACTTGTACTATAGAGAGAGAGCTGATAAATAAATTACAAATAACATCTCATACGTTAATTCCATAGTCCACTTTGTGGCTTATGAGGCAGTAGAATTGCTTTTTTGTATTCCATTGCTAACCACTGTCTGCTCCAGTTTAAAAAAAAAAAAGAAGCAAAAAAAATAAAATGAAAAATACCTTCCCCAGAGATATAGCTGCAAGTGAACTGCTAAAAGAAGCATCCTTACTTGCCTCTGCTCCTTATAAAAATAAAAGTTGAAAAAACCATCTTCTAATAGCCTTTGGAACAGCTCTCAAAATAAAGATATAATTGGCTTTGTAAACATTGTCAAAGTACAATCATTCACCCTGCAGAAAGTGTTGTCTGACACTGTGTGAGAAACAAAGATAGCAGTGACAAATACCCTTTTTAGCTGGTGTTGATCATGAAAGTTTAGTCTGATTATGTGCTAAGTGTTGCCTCTTCCATTAGGGTCCACGGCCATCCCAAATTTAATGAGGTATATTAAATTCAAGTCTGTCTCCCTCTGGATGACAGGAAAAGCCTATGGGAGCACAGAAGATAATCCTCGATGAGTGTGAACTGAATGTGATTGAATATAAAGCTCTGTATTATTGATTGGAATGTGTATGTTAAAGCCATTGGTCACTGAGAGTAGCTGTGTCTGGTGCTGCTTTCAAAGGACTCTCAGGCTGGTGTGCAGTGCCCAGTGAAAATGCCCAAATTTACATTATTCTTGCATACAGTGTAAAGCCTGGAAAATAAAAGTGCCACCCCTTGAAAAGAAAGACTGAACAATATATTCCTTAAAAACAGATTATCTCATTAAAGAATGAAAGGTCTGGTAAGAGAAAAAAATATGCATAGTTGCTTTATGGGATATATTTTAATTTTTGAGGGAAAAAAATAAAATTAAAAAAATGGTTTCAATATATTTTTGGTATTGTACTAATATATCATGTATACCCTTTCTGCTTTTCTTATTATTTCTTCCTCTCTCTCAGATAAAATTACAGTTTGAAGCACTAAATGAAACTGGCACAAAAGCAGCCATTATTAAAACAGGGCTGAAAAACGAAAAAAAAAAGGAAAGAATTCTGCTTTAAAAAGCATGTACAGGAAGGGTTGAGATGACTTCAGTAAGAACCCGTAGGGAATGCAAACTACAGAATGAAGGAAATGGATTCCTGTGACACATAAACAAAAGGCAAATGACTAATATATTTACATATAACATGTGGTGTATTCATTGCCCACCATGGTGACAGAATTGTTTATTTCATTTATAATTTATACAGCAAAACCTTATTATATGTGTAACTAATTTGCCTGATGATAATATGCAGTAGGAGATTAGGTTTCCATTATATTCTATCATTAAGAACAAAAGATTTTCATTTGTTGGTTAATTTTTTTCTTAGTTGCCGTCCCACAGAACACACCCTATACATAAGTATATTTCTGTTAAATCATTATGATGCTAAGCTAAGTAGAAAGCAGTGAGGAACTTCTGGAAAAAAGATTCCGATAAAATCCCTCACAGACAAATCCACCTTTGCTTCTGGAATTTCCTATGATATCAGAAATAACAATCTACAAAGAACCCCTCACAGGTGAGGTGCATGTAGCGAAAAAAAAAAAAAAAAAGAAATAGAATAAATATAGGCTCCAGAAAAGGTTTCCTCTGAGAGAAGAGAAAAAATAATCAAACATTTTAGCAGAAGCAGCATTAGGATATGTGACTAGACAGTCCATCCCAGACTACAGGGAGCGGATGGGTGGGTAGGCAGTGATGAGGGAATTATCTTGATGTATTTTCCACTGTGGCACATGAGACAGTGCAATTCTCTGAAAGGAATTGCTAGCACCAAGCCAGTAATTCCCCTCTGTGGTATTACAAAGTGTGTGTATTACAAAGAGGGAAGGGAGTGTGTGGGAGAGGAACCTGCGAAGTGCTGTGGGTGTTTCCAACACTGTGAAGCATGTGGATTGAATTAATTGAATTGATGAATTGAATTAATGCAAACATGCTTACCAAAGCATGAATGCTGTGTCAGAAACATGCATATGTGTGCATGTGTTCAATGTGTGCTTTTTTAGCTTTCAGAGACAACTGAAAAACCCAACTCTAATAGATTTGTTTGGCTGTGTACTTGCTTAATCCTTTGCAAGTCTAGTTTGCATCTCATAGTGAAATCAGCCTATTGCTGAAAAGGAGAAAAACACTCTCAAAAAAAGGGGGATATTTTCCTGTTTAACTCAGAGCTCTAAAGCACCTTCTAAAATAGCAGGTCATACCATTTCAGTGTAAAAATCTGTGCAAAGATGTCATAGTTTCTACAGAGTGTGCTAATACAAGAACTTTTTTTGGATGAAGTGACACTCAGTGTTGTGGGTATACATAAAAAACCTGAAACATTTGCAACCTAAATTAAGGTATTGCAAAAATATCTCCTTGTGGACACCCTGCTAGTCATCATAGTTTGTTAACCCATGAATACAGACAAGTCTGAAAGTTCAGGGGGCAGTTGAAAAAGTGCATCTCAGCAAGCAGAGAGTGAGCAGGTAATGGACACTGGCTGTTTTCAGGAAGAGTAGCAAGAACATGCAACAATATAGTCTGGGGACCAGCCATTTGGGCAGCAGTTTAGCAGAGGAAGACAGCAAAGACTCGTGTTCTGGTGGACACAAAGTTGACCATAAACCATCAAAATCTGCTTGCAGGAAAGATGGTGAGAGGAAGATGGAGCCAGACTCTTTTCAGTGATGCCTAGTAACAAGAGGCAATGGCCTCAAAATGAAACACAGGAATTTCCATTTAACCTTAAGAGACAATATCAGATTGCCCACCGAGTTGTGGAGACATCATTTTTCAAAATGTCAAATACAAAAATATGTTCCTGGGCAACTTACTCTTGTTCTCCTTGGGCAGAGGCGAATTGGACTAGGTGGTAGAGAAAGAAGCCATTAGAGAAGGCTATCAGAAATATCCAGCTGAGATATTTACGGGTATCATGTTCATAGGATTTTGTCCTATGAAAGTTTTGTTTCTCTTTTCATTGCCACTACAGTTTAACACCTGCACTGGAAGTCTTATGAAATAAGATATTTCCAGGGAAAATCTGACTGCATTGTTTTCCTCAAAATATCAAGTGAAATTAAACTTCAGCACAAGTCAAAGAGTTGAATGTGTTTCCTTAAAAAATGTTAATCTATGTATTTAATTTTAGTATATCAGCTGCCTTTGAAACTAATCAAATAAAAATGGAAGAAGTGAATGAAACTGGTTTTGTCCTAGATTTTCTTCAAATCTTAATTCCCAATAAGGCACCACTCCTACAGCTTTCTAAGGGACCAGTGCTATTAGCCTGATCACAGAAATATGCTAAAGTGACAGTGTTGCTGGTTCCAGTGGTTTGAGCGTGGAGTATAAGCCTGAACATAGATGGTGTGAGTTCAAACACTCTTGCAAAACCTGTACATGTGTACCTGTACAGTGGAGATGCG